TCCCCCTTGGAGAAACCACACATTCTTCTAGGACATTCATTTCAAACCACAAAAATGGAAGCCATTGATTAGGTGACATTTTTCATCTGTACACAAAATAGAATGGCAAATTTAAATCATTTCAGTTTTTAGGCATGTCATAATTCCAAAACTTTTAGCACAGGAGCAATTCTTCTTGGAGTATGTGTGTGTGACTTTGTGTATGCATATTAGTGATAATTTTATCTGGATTATATGAATCTACACTGCCATATAATCCAGTTCAAAGCAGATGATCTGGATTTTATATGGCAGTGTAGAAGGGGCCAGGTTTTTAAGCAACTGTGTGTTTACTTTTGCCATTTGACTTGTTTCAGTCATTCCGTAAAAAAAAGGTGTTAAAAATATGACCTAAATCCTTCATTCATCTTGAGTATATCCATTGAATCAGTTATGATTTGCTATATCAATACTTATATAAATTCCATAGATTAAGTCGGTTAGGACTAAATAGGATTCAAGTTTTTGACTTGCCAGCTCCTTGTGAATAACTTCAAGGTGTTAGTAAGATTAGTCAGAGATGGTTGGCAGTTGGAATTTTTTTTTACTCCTAGATTGCCATATAATGCAGTTTAACTGCATTGGACTGGATTGTCTACACTGCCATATAACACTGTACAATATAGTAAAGCTGCATCCTGCATTATATGGCAGTCTAGATGGGGTTTCTTCAATGTCTTTTAGTATTCCCTGCGTATATCTGTTCGATGGGAGGCCATTCCCAACACGATGCCAATTTATTCCCAATTTCAGAGCCAGTGTACAAAGTATTTTTATTTAAAGGTAGTTACAGTACAAAGAGTTTAATCTTCTGGTAACCCTAGGTAATGTTATTAATGATGATTGATGCTTTGAAGATCTAGAATGGAAAATGAAAGAAAGCATACCATGTATTAAATGTCTTTCCTAAGTTTGCCAAGGAGTCACTATTGTCAACCGGAGCCAAGGCATTTTAGAGAGTCTAAACTTTCCTAATAACTACCCTTCGGATGCATATTGCAATTGGACTATCCAAACAACAACTGGCAACACCCTCAACTACAGCTTTCTCGCATTTAGCACATATGGAGGAGAGCATTGTGAACGTGACCATGTAAAGGTATGAGAATTTCCTGTTTCTTTTACAGTATGCTATGCATTTATGGGGAA